GCAGTAACAACTCTAAAACGTCTACTAAATGTTTTTGACAAGTTTTTATTGCCCTTTCTCCATCTTTTTTGACTTTCTTCTAAATATTTCAGAGATGGTTGACCTTGATATCCATAATAATACTCATCCAAAACTTCTTGAACAGATTTTGGATTTGGATTAAGCTTATGAAAATTGTTTTCATCAATTAATCCATCATCGTCCTCATCATCTTCATCACCAACATTACCTTCATTACCTGCATTTGACAAAACATCATCACCAACCGTACTTTGACTTCTTTGAGGATTAATAACAGAATTTGATAATGTGTTCAAATTATGATCGTGATCTAATGGAACATTGATAAAGTTTCTATTAGTAGCAGTGGTGGTTGATCTTCTCGATGGGATAGAATTTGTTGCTTGAGAAGGTTGTCTAGTTAATGGAATATTGATTGGCTGAGTTTGATTAACACGATTAGCTTGGTTGATACGATTTGGTGGGATCAATGGGATTGGGCTATTAACTCTATTTTGAGAGCTGATTCCACCATTCACTGGGTTCAAAATGGCTGAATTGGGGTTGTTATTGACTTGGGTATTATTTGAGCTAATACCTGAACCTGCCGAACTGGTTGCATTGTTTACATTTGCAAAAGGAGCAGCTTCAGCATCTTTGGTGATTATATTGGATATTCTTTTGAATTGATACTGATGACCCACCAACTGTGTTTCAATAAGACTGACTTGATTGTTATAAATCTTTGGGAGAATCAATAAAGTCTGCTCAATGTCCTCTATTTTGTTACCTAAAGCGTTGTCATGGTCTCTTGTTTTGTTTTCCAAGGACTCGACTCTTTTGGACAATGTGACCACTTCGTCGTGGATCTTGGCCAAAGAGTTGTTCAGGTTGTTGTTGATGGTTGCCAACTGCTCCTGGATCAAGTTGTATGGATCCATCTTGAATGGTGCTGGTAGTCTTGATGGTTGTTGATGGACTAGTTGTGGATTGTTTTGAGAGCCTGAGTCCCTTTGAGCTTTATTTCTTGGATTTCCTAGATCCTTTTTTTTCGACTGTTCGCGAATTGGAAAAATTGGAAAGTCACCCGGCCATTGCAGATCGAATTCGCGACCCCATCACGAGTTTAAACATTTAACCGTTGGAACTACAATTATATAAAGACGTGAGGATTTCGTGTCTTTTGAAAAGATTCAGTGGGGGTTATTGTTGTATTCTAATCAAGATAGAAACAAGATGGTTAAGAAAGTACTTCTGCTACATGGTCCAAACTTGAACTTGTTGGGCTCAAGAGAACCTGAAAAATATGGAACTACAACTTTAAAGGAAATTGAGCAGAATGCTTCAAACCAAGTTCAAGCTCATTCTTCAGATGCTCAAATCTATTTCCATCAAGATAATCATGAAGGTGGATTAATTGATCGTATCCATCAAGCCAAAGCTGACGGTGTCGAATTTATTATCATCAATGCCGGTGCATATACACATACTTCAGTTGCGTTAAGAGATGCTTTATTAGGTGTTGATATCCCATTTGTGGAATTACACATCACTAATGTCCACTCTAGAGAAGAGTTTAGACACAAGAGTTACTTGGTTGACAAAGCTATTGCAATCATTAGTGGTTTAGGTCCAATTTATGGTTACAAAGCTGCAATTGAATTCGCATTGGATTATGAAAGAAAATAATGAGACATGATATAAATCCTACAAGGGAATTAAATACATCTTAGATTGAATCAATAAATGTAGGCATAAAATCATTAAAAACAAAACTTTTTTCTATAGGAAACTTTTGATTGGATCTTCATCCTTATTTTTCAAGAATGAAGTGAATGAAGAAACAGATTTAACATTTCTTGGAGCTCCGCTTTCCAGACTCTCCATTATAGCTTCAATCACCAACAGAGCTGAAATTCCATCAGTAATTGTACATTTAGCATCTTCTTCACCTCTCACATATTTAACAAAATGATCCAATTGTAATGCAAAGGGAATCCCACTGATGTCTTTCTCCAACACTGTCTTATGTAGAGGTTCCCACCAGCCTTTCTCCAAACCTGGTTTTAAATCATTTTGATGATAATAGTGGAAATCAGGAACTGTAAGTGTCCCCTTTGTTCCAAATATTCTATAAAAAACACCATCTGTTGGATCCTCCACTTTAGGAATCAAAGGATTTTCACCAGTACCCATCTCAAAATTGAATGGTGATATAACATTATCCGAAACAATGAATGTACCTTTAGCACCAGATTTAAAGCTCAAAGTCAACACAGCTCCTTCATCAACTGGATCATCAGATTCTACTATATCTCTATGCTGTGATAATTTCTCTGCATAAACTCTTTTGATAGGACCCATAAGGTATTGTAACAAATCTAAATCATGAACCAAATTTATCAAGATTGGCCCACCTCCTAATGACTTGACGTTTCTCCAATAAACTTGTTTAAAATAAGTATCATTCTTCTTCAACGTCCAAACACCATCAACCGCGATAATAGCACCCAGTTTTGATAAATGTTTCTTTGTAGCCAAAATATATGGATTGAATCTTCTATGATGGCCCACTAATAACTTGACACCTTTTGATTCAACACAATCTTTCAAGGCAATAGCATCTTCAACTTTTGTGCTTATAGGCTTCTCCACGAGGATATGAATACTTTCATTAGCCAACTCTAAGGCAACAGAAACATGTAATGCATTTGGTGTACAAACATAGGCAGCATCTGGTCTTAAACCGGCATTTAACAATTCAGTTAATGATGAATATAAGGGCACGTTGAATTGGTCAGCTATAAGTTGTGCCTTTGGTGAAGGATCTATGAATGCTATCAATTCTGTCTCTTTGTTCTGTGCAATCTGTTCAGCATGGCGAGGTCCTATAAGACCTAAACCACACACTATTAGTTTTAATTGTGACATAATTATTGAAGCTGTTGGAACATGCGGGTATTTGATCAAGCTGTCTGGTTTTGAATTATTTAATGAATGATGAGTGTATATTCTTCTATTAATTTTGCAAATGAATGGGAATGGTTTAATAGTGCTTCTTTTAGACCATGGAAGAAATGGAGATGGTTTCTAAACATGTGTATGAATCATACAAAAGTGAAAAAAAAACAATTTCCTTTTTCGAGTCTCGAGAAATTTTTACACGAAAAAAGAAAAAGGAGTTGAAAACCTGGGGTAAAGATTACGTAACAATTATATTAAAATTTTACATCAGTTTGTGATTAGTTGTAATAATAAGAAGTAAATGTATATCCAGATCATATTCATGATGTCAAACCTAATAATCCTTAAAATTACACCCATGTAACTACCAAGAACAACCAACCGAACATCACCAATGAACACTTTTAAACGCTTTTTGATTCTTCTTTAATAGATCCATATAATGTTTTGATGATCTCCTTTGTGGGTATTTCCTCTAGTGAATAACCTGTCCAAAGAACTTGCTGTGCAATACCTTGATAAATCATAGCTTCAACACCACTAATAACTCTCCATTCGGCTTTTACAAAATCATTATATAGCTGAGTTTCAATGATTGGATGATAACACATTTCTAAGACAATACCAGGTTCAACTTGTTTAATGAAAACATCTAAAGTTTCTCTAGCCAATATCTCTTCTGTTGTCTTTGGTGCGAAATTTGGCACTGTTAAAACAACTAATTTTGGTTGTTCTAATAATTTAGCCTGTTGAGGATTTTCCACATGAATGATTTCACCATCAAATCCATTCTCAACCATTGATTGTTTAACTTGTTCCACTTCATCTTTGAATCTATTTATGATGTAAATTTTTGGAACTTTTAATAATTTGTATAGGGCGAAAATGGCTGATCTACAAGCACCACCACCACCGTAAACTAAGCCTGGTTTAGAACTTAGTTGTTGTGTTTCTGCTGGATAATTTTGTAAGAAACTTTCCTTAATACCAACTGTATCTGTATTTGTACCAATCTTTACCAACTCTCCAGTTTTGGGATGGAATCTTGTATAAATGGTATTGACGGATCCACAACCTTGTCCAATATCATCTAATGAATCAACATGTTGTGTAGCTTTAACTTTATTGGGCATGGTGACTGCACTTCCAATCAGACTTTCATTTTGGAATTTAGAGTTGAAATCATCAAAGTTTGAACTTTCGAAAAGTTTGTATTCCCAATCTAATCCAAGTTTTTCAAAAGTTGTATTGTGTAAAAAAGGTGCTCTTGATTTTGAAATGTGTTCACCAAATAAGTAAAAGGTTTGGTTTGATTTTCTTAATGCTTGAAAATTTGGAGCAGTATAAGTTTCATCATCGATCGTCATGATGGTTATCAGTTATCTATGGGTCAAGGATCTTGTGAAGGAATTGTGTCAAAGGTTATTTTATGACTGGATTTTCTCGAGGCTCGAGGTGTGAAAAAAAAATTAAAAAACAAAACATGGTCAAGGACACACCATATTAAACATTTTCTACGGAACAATAAAGACCAATTAACTGATAATAATTCATCAATTATAGGATATTTATATCATTTCAGTCCAGTTTCCATCTTTCAGTAACACTTCTGATACCATCATAAACCATCGTGTTAACTAATGGGATGTATTGTGAAGTGATGATCTTGATAGCTTCTTGACCACCAATTCCACCTGTGAATGAAGCTATATTGTTTAATTCTTGCCCTTCACTTCTTGCTAATTCATGCAATATATTGTGTAATTTGTCATTATCTGTGGCTATGAAATCATGAGTAAGGTTGATTAATTCATCTAGGTCTTGTAATTTTGGATATTTACCTTTTGTTAAGTAGTATTTTTCATACACCAAGAATGATAATAGGATTTGTGAACTTGTGGTTTCTTCACCAACAATTTGATTAAAATTATTTGTGATTAAATTTTTGGAATTTTGGGCAAAGAACAGGAATTTAGAATGTTTAACAAAACTGGAAATGGTTTCTTTAGGAATTGTAACAGGTAATGGAAGTGACTCTTGTACTTTGAGTAGGATTTTTGTAAATGATTCTAAATCTTTTTGAGCTTTTGCCTTGTAAATGTTTTGTAATGTGATGTAATTTTCAGTTGTTGAATCCATATCTGGTAATTCACCTGAAAGTGGTAAGAACCCATCATTTTGTATAGAAAATTCTTTCAATGCCTTAACTAAGATCCAGAAATGGGATCTCTTGTGGTCATCATTGAAGTATTCATCAGTCTTGTCAAAGATTTCTTGAACATTTGATTGGTATTTTGTTTTATTGAATATTTTGTGACTGTTATCTATAGCTTCATCAAAGTTCAATTCATTGTAATCTTTTTTCCAGGTTCTCAACAAGTCTTTGAATTCCTTCTTCTCTACTGAAGTGTTTGGTATTTCCCCGTTATGCTTTGAACTCCAATCTTGTAATGCCTTCAATTGAATGATTAAATAGGGGATTTGAGAATGTTTCTCTATATCCAAGTTGTGTAAATCAATTGAATTGGAATAATCAATCAACTCATCCCAAGGTGAAAGGATCCTAAGATCAATCATACTTTGAGGATGTGTCTCATAAATTTCAAAAGTTGGTTTGAAAATTCTGATATAACCGTAGAACCCAATAGAGTTTATAACAAACAATGGGACATTCAATTGATTCAATTTTTCAATAATGGAAGGGATTTGCCAGTTCATAACAACCAAATCATAATTGGTCCAAAACTTGTCCTCCTGAGAAGTTAAAAAGGAATCTATTGAATCCACTTTAAACGCTGAGCTTTCTACATCAGTGTTTAATTCTCTTAAATTAGCAGCCATGATATCAATTTTGGATTTACCTATATCATCATCACTCAGATAGAAGTTATTGCTTAAATCATCTTCATCGATGTCTTTATCAACGCCAACTATTGTGAAATGACCTATACCTGGTAGCACCAAATTCTTTAGTAATTCCAACGTTGTGATTGTTGGTTCTATGACCAATATGCTTGCAGATTCTAGACTGGACTGACCGTTATTAGCCCATAGTCGCAATTGACGGTCGTATTTCTCCTGCTTGTTGACCTGTGTCATTGTTTCCTGGAGTTGTTCCTAGTTCATCATCATCATCATCATCATGAGCTTGTTCGCTTGATTGAATTGAAATTGAGCTTTCCACAAAACACATTCGCGGAATCGCGAGTCTCTTGCTCGGGGGACTTATTCAGTCTAGACTCTTACTTCATCACGAGCCTAGCCCCCAAACCCCAGACTCGCGAGAAAAATCAAAAGCACCCACGTTGCAACCACAAACTGGCTTCTGCTCTTCTGCTGGATAGATCATAGCACCAAGTGCAGCCACACGCCAGCCAATAAGAAGCCATATCCTGGCCTAATCCCAACGGGCCTAATCAAGGTCTCATTTAATCTCCATTTGCGCTGGCTAACGCACCAATTCGCGATCCTCTCGAAAACGTTTCTGCTGCTTTCTTTTTTTGTTGTTGTGTTGCGTACATCTGAAAAGTTTTCCTATAAACATTGAAGCTCATCGCATCTTTTATACTTTATTAAAACTTGGCTTTCATCTTACTGTACTGCTACTTGATATGAGCATATGACGAGTTATTGACAATGAAGTTTGGTAAAACGTTTGAGAAATCACTAGAGGATCATCACATCCCAGAAGAATGGATTGTGTCTTCAATCCAATATAAACCTCTAAAGAAGAAAATCAATAAAGTTGTTGAAGAAATGGATGATGCTGGTCTTACTCATGAAATTATTGCTGAAAGACAATTAATGTATTATTACACTTTCAAAGAGAATCAACAACATGAAATCCAACCAAAGTTATTGACTGATGATAATGAAGATGCCAATAGTATTAATGAAAAAATGTTAACTTTACATTCAGATATCGTGTTTTTCCAAGCTTTATATTCCCAATATTTAAAATTAATCCAATTCAACAAATTACAAAGTACTTTAATATTAGCCAAAATCCAACAATTGAGTCATTTAATTAAAAAATTGACAAGCTCTGATCAAAAAAATAAAAATGATATGTATTTATGGAGAGAAATCTTTAACAAATATGTCGAATATAAACTTGATTTAAAATCTCATTTTGATTCGAAAAACCTTGATTCATTCGTTGGTCATATTGAAGATATAAAACTTTTGAAAAAATTCAAACATACAAAGAAAAACACTGAATATTTCCACAATTTTTATGAATTAAACTTAGAATTACTTAAATTTTTATCATTTGAAAATTTAAATACAATTGCAATTAGGAAAATTGTCAAGAAATTTGATAAACATACTTTGTTACACAGTTCTCAAAATTTCAACAAAATGATTACATTTGAAAAAAGCTCATTATCAACATCCTCAATTGAACAAGTTATATCAACAGATATTGTTAAACTAGTACCACAACTAGATGATTATTTGTGTCCAATCTGTTTTTCAATTGCCTATAAACCGGTGAGATTAACATGTAATCATTTCTTCTGTATCCGTTGTTTAATTAAATTACAAAGAAGAAATGAACCAAAATGTCCAATTTGCAGGGATCCTGTTGTTATGGATGCTACAGAAGCTAATGTTGACTATGAGTTATTGGAGTATATGAAGAAGAATTTCCCTAAGGAAGTGAAAAAAAAGCAATCTCAAAATGAAAAAGAGGTTACTGATGAGACTTTGAGTACGTTATATGGAGATGATAAGTGTATAATAATGTGAATGTGTGTTTTTTAATAGTTTAATGTTTAATGGTTTGCGATTCAAGGTTGTAGCAATTCGCGAAATTCATTATGTTGAGAAAGTCAAAACAATTCAAGACATAAACAAAAATCACCATCAATCACCAAGCGACAAACATGAAAAAAGTGGGTCTAGCAGCGTTTGATGATAATAAACTAAGGCAATACTCAGAATTGGGACAATCTCTACTTCAAAAGAAGACAAACGAACTCACAACACAGCTTCAACTGTTCAAATCAATCCTTTTGAATTTCCTCAAGGAACATAATGAAGAATTATCAAAAGACATCACCTTAAGAAATGAATTCATCAAAATA